CCACCATGAGCTGGAGCCGGGGCTTCCTGATCGGCCTCCTGAGCGCAGCGTGGCTGCTGCGCTCCGGCCGCGGGGACCAGCAGCCTCCGGAGACGGCGGCGCAGCGGTGCTTCTGCCAGGTGAGCGGCGAGCGCGCCCGGCCAGGTGAGGGGTCGGGGAGGGGGCGTCATCGCGCCTCTCCCCCGGGGAACGAGCCCCCGACCCCGGGGTCGCAGACCTCCATCCCTTGTCCGGCAGGGCGACGACCGGTGTGCTTCCACGCAGCCTGGATGCCGCGCGCCCTCCGGCGATCTGCACCCCGCTAGGGGCGTGGGGTTCGCCCTTCCTGGCCTTCCCTGACGGTGGGAAAGGGGGTGTGCGGACGGTGGGCACCCACCCTAGTCGCTCTTTCCGTAGAACCTGGGCCGGTTCTAACTTCGAGCTTGACCTGGAATTTGGGGACCCCGGTGCCTGTGCGGGTGTGGCTTCGCCAGCCCCTCCGGTTGGGACGGGCTTAGGGTGAGGGCTAGCTGCCCCCCCCCCCCCAGATCTCGTCGTCAGGGGGAGAAGGGCTCTGGATGGCCGTTGCTGCGTCTTAAGGCAACTCGCCCTGCGCGTCTGTTTCCTTTTTCCTGACTTGTCACGGTGTTCTCCTATCTGACTGGTGATGTTTTCCTGTCTGGCTGTTATGGTGTTCTAACGTGTCACCCTTCACTCCTAAAGTTTGGTTACGAGCTTAGGATTATTTCCTTTCGTGAGGGTAAGGGGTGTTGTTTCCCTGAGCAACAAATTCAATTTAGTTTTTCTGTCTTTGTATTTTATATTTCAAAACTATTCCTTTTTTTTTTTTTGGTGGTGATGTGGGAAGGGAGAGGGACTATAGCTTAAGTTAATTTTGGGTGAGGTCCTTTAGAAGAGGCAAATTGAAATAACTCTGAATTTCATTTTGGCAGTCATCAGGCCAACATGTAGCTTAGAATCATTCAGTAGCATCTGAAGTCAATGTTTGTATTATTCTATTCTTTGGAAAGTGTAGCATTCTTGTTCAGATGTTTTTGTTTTCTTGAGATATGGTCTCCAGGCTGACCTTCAACTCCTGATCTTTCTGCCTCAGCCTCTCAAATGTTGGTATTAGGTATGCACCACCATGGTTGGCTGCGATTACTTTTTTTTTTTTTTTTGGTACTGGGCTTAAATTCAGAGCCTTTAGCTTGTTAGGCTGGTGTATCACCGGAGCCATATACCTCCAGCTCTGCTTTTGCTGGTTATTTTTGAGATCGGTTCTCCAGACTTCTGCTAAGGCTGGTCTTGCCCCTTGACCTTTCTGCTCTCAGCTTCCAAAGTAGCTAGTGAGCCATTGGTAAATGGTTTTATTCTTTCAAGCTACATCTTGGTGGGTAGCTTTACATTTTTAAGCTGGATGTGGTTACACACTTCTGTAATTCCAGCTACTCAGGAAGTGGAGATAAGTGGATCCCTAATTTGAGACTGGTCGGAACAGTTGCTGAGACCCTATCTCAAAAGCAAAATACAAACAAAAGGGCTGAGGGTGTGGCTCAGGGCCTGACTCAAATGGTGGTGAAGTTGCCTAGCAAGCATGAAGCCCTGGGTTTGATCTTCAGTACTGCAAGAACACACACACATTATATATCTATATCTATATCCATATCTATATACACACGTACATGAGATAACCAGCATCTACATTATTCGATTTGTGAGGATTTTACCATTCATGAACAGACATAACATGTATGTATGGCCATGGTACTGTCCATAGAGGAAAGAAGCACTTCCATACATATGAGTGGCAGAGATGTTATTTCTTTCATTGTTTTATTTGTGAGAGGCATTACTGAGGCTTTGGGACTTGAACGGAGGGCCTCTGTCTCTCTCTTTCTCTCTTTTTTTTCCCTCTAGAGCCTATCTAGTGCTCTACTAGCATGCCTCTAGCATGGCTTTTTAAATGGTTAGTTAGGGATAAGTCTCTTGGACTTTCTGCCCTGGCTGGCTTTGAACCATGATCCTCAGATCTCAGTCTCTGAAGTAGCTAGGATTACAGGTGTGAACTACTAATGTCCTGCTCTTCCTACTGACTTAAATTCTTGGATCTTTTGTTTTGCTGACTAACTTGGGAGTTGAGCTGATGTTATCTGGGAATTTGTAAAAGAAGTTGGAAGAAAATTGCTGCCATACAAGTAAGACATTGGAAAGGTGCTCTTCTTCAGCGGCTCAAAGGACATACACTCAAATACTTAGTAATTACGGACATCACACACCCAAAGTTCAATCAGCTGAAGATAAGCACAACAGATCCTTGGTATCTGTGGGTACTGCCACTAAGGAAAAAAACACACCTGCTCAGGAGTTTAGTACTGTGTTATGGATGCTTGACGTATTTTTCTTAGAATACCACCCAGTTTCTACTCAAAACATACTGCCTTTTAAGAAATTTGCAAAATTTCATTGTGTTAGGTCAACTAAGCACATTCTGTAACCTTTTTTGCCTTGGGAGAATACTTTTTTTGTTTTTTGGTGCCAGTCCTTGAACTCAGGGCCTGGCACTGTCCCTGAGCTTTCATGCTCAAGTGCTCTACTACTTGTGCCACAACTCCATTTCTGGCTTTTTGGTTGTTAATTGGAGATTAGAGTCTCACAGGGGCTGGGAAGGTGGCTCAGTGGTAGAGCGCTTGCCTTGCATGCAGGAGGCCCTGGGTTCGATTCCTTAGCACCACATAAGCAAAAAGAAAAAAGCTGGAAGTGGTGCTGTGGCTCAAGTAGTAGAGCGCTAGCCTTGAGCTGAAGAGCTGAAGGACAGCACCCAGGCCCAGAGTTCAGGCCCCAGGACCGGGCACCCCCCCCCCAAAAAAAAAAAAGAGTCTCATGGACTTTGTGGCCTAGACTAGCTTTGAATCTTATTCTACCTGGACTAGCCTGGGCTGTGATCCTTTTATACCCATAACTGGAATGACAAGTGTGTATGACCACACTCAGCTTTTTCTTTTATTGAGATGGGAGTTTTGCAAACGTTTTTTTTGCAAACTTTTTTTGCCCTATCAGCTTCCCATGTAGCTGGTAAGACAAGGCCAAGCCACTGTACCTAGGTATTGGTTGAGATACTTTTTGCCTGGGCTGTCCTGGGACTGTGGTCTTATTTCCACCTCCCAGATAGCAAGAGTTATGATTGTGAGCCACCAGTGCTCAGCTGATTTTTATAACTATATAATAATAATAATATATATAATATATAATAACATAATATATAATAATAATTATTATTATTTTATTGCATTTGGTTAAAACCTCAGATAAATCTGTGAATAAGGATAGGTGCTAAGATTTTCAGCCAGGCTGAGAGTTTAGCAGTAGAGTAAAAAGCAAATGCATTTGCTTTTTCTCCCATCCCCAGCTTTAGAAATCTGCCTAACCCTGTGAAGTTTATACATTTTTACATTGTTTACTCTGATAGTGATTAAGGGTCCCTCTTTCTACAATATCCTTAGATTTAAATAGAAAAATCTGTTAGGCACCTTTCTTTTTGTTTTAGAATAAGAGTGGCTGTCTTTTTGTCTTCAGCGTCAACTTTAAAGAATTGTGAATTGGCTGGAAATGTTGTTTCTGGCTTATAATCCCAGCACACAGGTAGCTAGGCTGAAGAGGGAAGAGAGCAAATTCAGAGCCAGCTTAGGCTGAAGAGGGAAGAGAGCAAATTCAGAGCCAGCTTAGGCAATTTAGTAAGATGGTATTGAGGAAGGGAGGAAGAAAGGAAGAGAGGAAGTGGGGGGGAGAAGGAAGAGAGAAAGGAGAGAAGGAGAGGGGGGAAGGAAGGGTCACATAGTAACAGACAATTGTAAGAGAAATAGAAAATAGCCTACTGAATCCCAATATAATAAATGAAGAGTGTATGTTAGTTCTCTCTGGCTAATAGTAGAAGGGATGAGGACGGAGAAAGTCAGTGAGACAAGCTTAATGATAGACATGTGCAGAAAACCAGGATGAGAGAAAGTGAAGAAAAAAATGAGAAAGAAGCGACAAGAAGAGACCACTGGTGCAAAAGATTTATTCAACCTAAGTTTCTGTCCACAGTGTTCACTGATCTGAGTACGCACTCAGATGTAGAGGTTACTATGGCCAGACAGGCTTACAGTTTGGTGGGTGATCCTTATGGTGGGTTGATGACAGACATAGGTCCTAAGCATGTAAAAAGCAATTAAGAAACTGCGCTGCTGGCTCACATCTGTGATATTGGATGCTTAGAGGGCTGAGTACTGACTGCTTTGAGCAAAAAAGCCAAGTGAGAGCACAAGGCTGAGTTCAAGTCCCATTATGAGCATGCGTGCGTGCGTGTGCACACGTGTGCACACACACAGACACACAGAGCAGTTTTGAAGCCAAATGGGTGGTACTAGTCTTTATTCCTAGCACTGCTGGAGGAGGGAAGGGCTGACGTAGGAGGATTGGGAGTTCAAAGCCAGCCTGGGCTATATATAAAGTAAAACAAACTAAACAACAGCAACACTAGTTCCCTTCTTGTTGTCTATTACCCCTTCTGCTTTGGCTTGCCACATCCTCAGCACCCCTCCCCTCATACTGTTGCAGGGGTGCCTGGCTTACAGTTGGGGTTCTGCTCACAGGATATCCTCTCTGGTCTGAGCATGAATAGGATATGTAGTTGCTTGACCTAGAAAGACATTGAAGTAAAATGTATAGAATAATCAGAATAAGTTCTGTCAGCATTTGTTCACGTCTACTGTCATTAAGTTTTGAGGTGGAGATTTAAAACAAAGAATTAAAAAATTTTTCTTTTGAAATTTCAGAGTCTTGGAGACCTGGTGCATAATCTGTGCTTAGACTATGTTAGGGAAATTATAGTACAAGATGTCCAGAAAATTATTTTGCTTAGCGAGCTATTTCAGATGGGTTGATGGCTTCAGTTAAATCTGAACTTGTAGCTTATTGGCTACAAGTCCTACTAAATTGATTTCACTCACTCTGCGCTCTAAGTTCTTTTGAAAATAATATCACAGTGTTTCTTGTTCAAATAAGTGTTTAGTTATATAGGACAACTTCCTTCTATACAAGCCCTTGCTTTTTTTTTTTTGGTTGGTTGTGGGGCCTAAACTCTGGGCTTGGGCGCTTT